CGGAGCGGCCGTCGTGGGCACTGTCCATATAGTCGATTTGGGCGGTCCCATTTCCCCTCGCACAGCAATAACCTCTATACCAATATGTGTACACATGCTCCGAATAGTGCCGCAGAATCTCCCCGCCGCCTTAACGTGGTCCCTCTTCCACTCGGGGCACTCGACACTGACTTTGATCGACTCAGGGTTGATTACCTGCTTCATATTCTCAATGAGGCACTGCGGTGCTGCGATCTGGATTCCTGGAGGAGGCGCGGGGCGTTTAGCAGGGGGTACCGTCACAAGGTCGATGCACCGTTTGACCCTCCAAATAATATCCCTGTCGGTCCCTGGCTTGAATTTGATTTTGGCCGATCCGAACATGTAACGGCCAGCGTTAATGCGCTCCGTACCGTCAACACACACGTGCACACGATCATCCTCCGAAAGACAATGATTTGTAATGTTATCGATGAGCACCTTCACATCCTCCCACATGAGCATCTCCTGAGACCTCCTATCCCTGTCACTCCAGTTGGTGACCCATCCCTTGAGTTCGACATACGTTGGAGAGAAGTAGGTGGTTCCAGGAGCCTGGTATCTTCCCGTCCTGGTATTATCAGGCCTCGTCGAGGCGTCACTGGCAACGGAACCCGCACGAACCTGTCCCTGGAGTCCCTGGACGATCGTCTCGAGTCGATTATGTTTAGTCTCAAGCCCCTGAACGCTCGTCTCCAGATTAGAAATCGCAACACCCTGCTTCTGGACCTGGGCCTGAACGTTGTCGATTTTGGTCCCCTGAACTCCTATGGCATCCTGGATCCTTTCAGTGTTATCATCCATCTTGTGCATCATCTGCAATAGTAAACTCTGCATACCATCCTTCCCCTCCAAGGCGGCCTTCCTTTCAGCAAGAACCCCCTCACGATTACGCTTCACAGGGGGGGCGCCGCCATCCACCGTCATGTTATCTGCATGCTCAGGCATTGTGTCAATACACTGAGGTCCGTATCCCCACGAGTGCAACCACTGTCGTGTCACCGTCCGTTCACAGAGAGGTACAACAGATTCACTATCTGGAGTGGAGTCGGCAGTATTCAATCTTCCGTCCAATGGATAGTCACCTGGGGTCTTCTCAATATCCTGAAGCTGTCTTTTACGAGAAGCTCTCTCGATAGCAGTACCTGGCTTCTGACCGTAATCCTGTGAGTACTGCCAATATGGCACTGTCGGTGATATATCCTCCAGCTGAAACCTTCTCGCAAGAACCGAAAAGTCGTATCCGTCCGTCTTCACACGCGAACAATAAAAGATAACAAGCACAGCAAACAAAGGAAGCAGCCTAGCTGGCCTCGAAGATGCCGTACCCGTCGATGGCAGCGATGGCTGCCGCGCCGTCACCCCGCGACGCCGACACCCCCTGAGCCCCAGTGGGATCCTGGAGCCCTGGAGCCGAGATTTCTTGAGCCGGGGGGACTCGTAGAGCTTCCTGACGATATATAATGTACAAAAAAATATTGCAGAGAACGAATAGTTGTTTGGCCCAAGCGATTTCAGACCTCTCGATGCAACAGCCGAACGCCCCCGATGCTTCTGGATTGTCTTCTGTACGAGCTCTGTAGCTCTCCTACAGCCCGAATTACGTGCGTACACGACAGCATCTCTGAAGATGACTCGAACAAAACAAATAGTTTGGCAAACCCAGCTCGAGTATCAGACCGAGTTCAGACCTCTGAATGCGTCAGGCGGACGTGTCTGATATCTCTGAATCGATTCCTGTGATTACCAGCCCTGCAGCCCCCCTACAACCCGAGCTAAGTGCAGAAAACCGAGAGCACCTCTCAGGATGACTCGAACAATACGAATAGTTTCGCGGACCTAGTTCGGGCAGGAGACCGAGCTCTGGAGTCGACGGACAGACGAACCTGATGTCTACAAATCGATTCCTGTGACCGCCTGCACTGTACCCCCCTACAGCCTGAGTTAAGTGCAGAAAACCGACAGCACCTCTCAAGATAGCTCGAACAATACGAATAGTTTCGTGATTCTAGATCGGGCAGCAGACCGAGTTCAGAGCTCTGGATTCAACAGACACGCGCGACTGATGATTCCGAATCAGTTTCTGCAAGGACCAGCTCTGTAGCTGTTCTATAGCTCGAGTTTAGTACAGAAAACCGAGAGCGCCTGTGAAGATGACTCGAATAATACGAATCGGTTTGGTAACCTAGCACGGCTAGCAGACCGAGTTCAGACCTTTAGATGCAACAGACGAACGCGCCTGATCATTCTGGATCGATAAGGTTGCTTACCAGCTGTGTAGCTGTCCTGTATCTCGAGTTAAGTCCAATAAACTGACAGCGCGTATCAAGATCACTCGAAACGGCCGATCCCGCCCGTGTGCTTTTTGGCAGTAAAAGGTACCCGATCGAGCTGAGATCAAGATGACGAGCGGGAATAAGATCGAATATCACGGGAAAAAATACTAGAGCTCTAACGAATGGTTGAATTTCGAGAACAAAATCTTCAACCGACCAAAAGTCAGCAAAGGGTCCGTCGAGAATTTTCTTGCCAACTAGCTCTCCAGCGCCCGGGAATTACTCTTAAGCTTCCAGCAACAACTTGCTATGGGAAGCTTTACGAATTATTTTTCTTGCGAACTAGCTCTTCAGCGCCCCGGAATTACTCTTAAGCTTCGAACAATAACTTGCTAAGGGAAGCTCTACGAGTTACCGACAGCACTCGTCAACATGTCCCGTATAATACTAATAGATCCGCAGATCGAGTAGCAAACCAAGTTCAGACCTCTCGATGGAACAGACGAATGCCCCTGATGATTCTGGATCGGTTTCTGTAAAATATTCGGAAAACCACCCATAAGTTCACTTTCCCTTTCTGGTCGGGTCGACCAACTGGGCGCCGGCGGTAAACCGTCAACCTTTGTTACCGCCGGGGGACTCGTAGAGCTCCCTGACAACATATAATGTCGAAAAAAATTACACCGAAAAAATAGTTTTTCAGCCCAAGCAATTTCAGACCTCTCGGATGCAACAGCCGAACGCCCCCGATGCTTCTGGATTCTCTTCTGTACGAGCTCTGTAGCTCTCCTACAGCCCGCGTTACGTGCGTGAATCGACAGCACCTCTCAAGATCACTCGAACAATACAAATAGTTTGGCAAACCTAGCTCGAGTATCAGACCGAGTTCAGACCTCTGCATGCGACAGGCGGACGCGTGATGTCTCTGAATCGATCCTGTGATTACCAGCCCTGCAGCCCCCCCTAAAGCCCGAGTTAAGTGCAGGAAACCGACAGCACCTCTCAGGATGACTCGAACAATACGAATAGTTTCGCGGACCTAGTTCGGACAGCAGACAGAGTTCGGAGCTCTGGATTCGAAAGGCGGACGCGCCTCATGTCCCCCAATCGATTCCAGTGAATACCAGCCATGCAGCCCCCCTACAGCCCGAGTTAAGTGCAGAGAACCGACAGCATCTCTCAAGATGACTCGAACGATACGAATAGTTTCGCGATTCTAGATCGGGCAGCAGACCGAGTTCAGAGCTCTGGATTCAACAGACAACGGCCACTGATGATTCTGAATCAGACTCTGTACATATCAGCTCTGCAGCTGTCCTGTAGCTCGAGTTAAGTACAGAAAACCGAGAGCGTCTGTCAAGATGACTCGAATAATACGAATATCTTCTCCTAGGTTTGGGAACTCCCCCGACCCCCCGAATACCGCGGAGTGGCGACAGCCTCAGAAGACGACGTAGAGGAATGCCTGTCTCTGTACTGTTTTCACCACGATCGCTCGAATCAGAACGTTTTGCACCTGGTCGTATTCCTGGGCGCTCGCCCAGCAGGAAATCGAACAGACAGGCGAGCCGTATGCAATACTCAAGAGCGCTCTGCTAGAGAAAGGGAGTGGCGGGCGGGCCACACAGCTACAGAACAAAGAAGGGATCGCACCGTTCTATCAAACTTCAGAAGAAACACGTGCTGGCACTGCTTATCTTCTCCTAGGTTTGGGAACTCCCCCGACCCCCCGAATACCGCGGAGTGGCGACAGCCTCAGAAGACGACGTAGAGGAATGCCTGTCTCTGTACTGTTTTCACCACGATCGCTCGAATCAGAACGTTTTGCACCTGGTCGTATTTCTGGGCGCTCGCCCAGCAGGAAATCGAACAGACAGGCGAGCCGTATGCAATACTCAAGAGCATAATGCAATCTGGTACTCTGGGTAGGGTGGGAGGGTCATACCAGCAACTTAGACATATTCTTGGTAAACAACGAACCATTGCTGGCATCGACAGCTGCTGACATTCGGGAACACAACCTCCAGGGATAGGGCTCCGCGATTTTGGTCCAAAAAATCCCCTTCTCATTCTTGCCTTCCAGGGTTTGATGGGCTCGGTGAGTGCGGCAGCATATCCCATTAACTGATGTGCACTGGCGAACCACACGAGATAAATCAACGTGTGTGGTCATCAAACGTGTTCTCTTCCTCCAAGGCTTACCGTCCATGCAAAAGTCTGCGTACTCTGAGCGCACATCCTCACGTGCGATCAGCTTCACAAATTGAGGAAGGTACCACAAGATAGAAGTGTGCGGATTCTCCCACGAGCATGGGACACGTCGGAGGCGACAACGCTCAAAAACTCGAGCTGAGAGGTCGGCAAGCTGGTTGCCAACCTTCACTTTGTCACTGTCGGCTGCCGATAGAAGGCCGTCAAGCCCCCGGGGGCGGTCTGAGCTGCGCAAAGCCCCTGGGCCGTCACCACGGCCCCGGGCACGAGAAAAAGTACAGCAAGGCGTACCAAGGTGCACGGCCCAGATCGCCCCTGAGTTGAGGAGCTGGAAAAACAACTTGACGAGGTGTGGATTCGTGGCGTCACTTTGGGGCCCATGAATCACATCAACTTCAATCGTCACGTATCCTCTCTTGCGCATTGCTGAAGACCACTTGCCTGAGCCTGAGAAAAACTCCACTGCCACTCGAGGTAGACGACGTTGTTCAGCGCTCACGGCAGCTCTAAGGGATTCGAACGCTTCAAGAGGACATCTCCGATTTTCTTCCAGGCGTCGTCGCAGAAGCCCCGCACCGCGACAGGCAGCGCGGCGATCTGCTCGTTGATGCGGTTCTGCTTGCCGTAGCGCCTGACGGAAGAGTCCGCCGACCAACGGCCACGAGCCTTGACCTCTGCCAGGCGGCGGATCCGCTGGGCCAGGTCGTAGCTGGGTCCTGCGTGGCGCAGCTGGTGCGCCACTGGCGGCTTGGGCAGACCCAGCCGCTCGCCCGCCATCTTGAAGACCATGAGGAATGAGCGGCCGCCGAGGTCGCCCACCACCAGCTCGTCGAGGCGGGCCTCCCGCTTCGCCTTGGCGTGCATTACCGACATCACCTGATTGAGGAAACTGAGATGGCCGTCTGCGTCGATCGATATGTTCTCGTCGAACTCCTCTGCCTTCGACTGGACGCCGTCCTCCCGGGGGTGCAACGTCAGACACCACCCGTCGGTCCCTCCTCGGCCTGCCCCGCACGGCGGGGACCAATGCCTCCACTTCATGCGCATCAACTCCGACGGCCTGAGGTAGAGGTGGAAGGCCAGGAGGCTCCCGAAGGCGGCGAGGGGGAAGCCCAGCGAGCACAGCACCATTGCCAGGCCGAAGACCACCGTCGCTGGGATCGGCAGCCGAGAGGCCGCCGGAGAGAGCTTGCTGAAGCCCACCAGCGCGCGGGCAGTCTCGGGCAAGGACTGGCCCCCCTGGCGACCAAACTATGGGAACTTCCACCGGATAGCCGCCACTAGAGTGTTCGCTACGCCACTCAGCTCCCCCTCGAAGTAGAGGTCGTCGAGGTGGCACTTCAGCTTCTGGTCCAGCACCTTCGGTGTGCGGGCCAGTGCGTGGAGGTCCCTGATACTCTGATCCTTCACGAAGCGGTCGAGCGCTGCCTTGCACTGCTGCTGCACTGTCCGAGAAACACTCCCCTGCTCGAGGAAGGACCGGCCCACGGCCTGGAGACTCCTCCTCTCGAGGGCGTGCAGGGAGCGCCTGGCCTTCTTGCGCTCCTCCGCGTCGGGATGCGACTTGCTGGTCTCGATGGCCGTCCTGCTGGGCTGTGCGGCGGCCGGGCGCTTCCGCGCCGGACGGCGGCGCCGCGCGGCGGATGTGGGAGGGTCCCGCACCAGGATCGGGCTCTCGAGCACGTGGGTCCTTGCCATCTCGCGAACGCTGCCACGCGGCGGCGAGGGCGTCGAGGGCGTCGGACCAGGACTCGAGCTCCGACCTGTTCCTCGAGGGAGGATCGCCTGGGTTGAGTTCGGAGACGACCCACCTGAGATCCGCCGTAACATCAGCTCTGAGGGCCACTGCACAAAATTGCCGGACAGGTCGCACGAGGCCTGGAGCCGAGGTGCGGCCCTTGAGCAAAGCTAAAATAGAGACCATGCTGTCACTGATGATCAAGAATCTGTGAGACCTGTTCGATATAGATTTTGTCAGATGACGAATACACCAAACCAATGTGCGGCACTCCAGGGCGGTGATGTGTTCTCGGCGGTCCCATTTCTTACGATGTAGGATCCTCCAAGAGCCTCCCAAGAGCCCACGACTCTCACCTTCCCCAGAGATCGGTAGGTTGGGCACGAGGCCCTCGTCGGCGAAGCTCAGCTCCAAGAACTCACCTGAAGGCAGCGCCCCGCCGAGAGCCTCCTCCAGCGCCCCCGTCCTGGCAGATCCCGAGGTCCCGTGATAACGCCAGCGCTCCGAGTACTGCGAGAGGTCCCGAATCGTCCCCACGGAGAGGGACTTGTGAGCAACTCCTTTTCCCCACATCGAGGCGTCACACGCCAGGACCCTGGAACTGAACGGCTTGGCCAGATCATGGACGAGGAGGGGTAACAAAGACTGGATCCAGCGGAGCTCCCTAACGACCGACGGCCAGAACGGAGCAGAGTCCTCGGGGTGCTTAGCCATGAAAGCGTAGACCGCGTTGAGGCAACAAAGGGTTTCTCTTTTCACCAGCGCCATGGAGACAAAGTGTCCGACAAGCCGAGAAAGCTGACGTCCAGTCCCCTGGCGGCGCTCCAGTGCGTGAAAAAGTGCAAGCCATAGACGCCATACGCGGCGCCCCTTCGGCACAAGACACCTATCATCTCGACGGAACTCCCAACCCAAGGCCTCGAGAACCTCTGGATCAAACCTCTTATCATGAACGATGAGACCCCTCTCCTCCATGATGTTGTTGATTTTTGTTTGGATGGACCTCCCCTTTTCCTCCTGGGTACTTACAGTAATGATGTTGTCCACGTAAGGTATAACCGCCCCCTCCTCCAAATTCGGAATGGCCTCCCGATCCGTGACCAGGAAATGGTGCTTATCTGGGATCGCCTCCTGGATCAACGAAGTGACGACATACTGGCATACATTGACAGCGTGCGACCACCCCATAGGTACAGCTCTGAACCGCGGGTAAACACGAGTAGCAGGATCCACTGAGACACCAGACACCTCCGAGATCTGTAAGTCCTTGGCACTGAGGGGCTCCATGGTGAAATACCTCCTAAGGGGGTCGGGGAGTTCCATAGTGTAAAAAGCATCCTTCAAATCCGAGGAAAACGTGTGCAACAGACTTTCCCCTTGGAGTCTCAACCTCGAAAAAGCGTTAACCGTGGGGAGGTCTGGCGACTCGGGGACCTCAAAGCTGCAATTGGAAATCCGAGCGTCCAGGATGAGGCGTTGCTTCACCCCGTCCGACTTCCAAACCGCAAAGATCCCCGTTCGGACTCCATCCGTTAAACTGAACTCGACGAGTCCCGCGGCCTGAAGGCGAGCCACGAGAGACTTGTACACCCTTTTAGAACGCAGACGTGGGTCGCTGCACGGCCTAACTAGACCAGCTTCCTCACGATTCCTTTGCTGCAGCTCCTTAGGCAAAACTATATCATATGAAATCCTCTTGATGAACTCAGCGCCGCGGACCCCCAAAAGGTCGCCCAGGGGCCGCGGCTGGAAACCAGACTGTGGGAGAGACAGCTTGTCCACATCTAGAGGAGCCAGGTGGCACGGGATCCCAGCGTAGTCTTCGACCCCCTGGAGCTCAGTGAAGGCTCCCCGAGGGTCAAGCCCCTCGGGTGGACGGCCCATGCGCCGCACCCGAGAGGTTAAAAATGTATGCTCAACAGGCGAAAGAAGCGAGCCGTGGCCCTCAGCCGGCTCAGGAAGGCCATCACCTCGCTCGAGCTCCGCGAGTGCGCGACCCAGGGCAGCAACCTTCTCACCGACGTGCTCCCTTCTCCTGAAGCGTCGCTGGACAGCTCGGCACCCTCGAAGCTGCGAAGGCCCAAGAGCAGAGTCAGCCTCCTTCACTGCCGCGTCACTGGCTGAAATGACGCGGCCCCCCTCCCGTGAAGCCGGCCAGGCGCGAGGGAAAGCCTGGCCAACGCTCATCATCATCCCCGCCTCCGCAAGGCGCGCTCCTCACGCGCCTTGCGGGATTGCTTGTCAATAGCACTCTGCCGCTCGAGCTCCTTCGACGTGTACGTGATCAGATCGGGAGCGATCATCAGGTTGCCCTGGCTCTGGTGGACTCCCAGCATGACCGTCTGCTCCTCCAAGTCCACTCCCGTCTTGGAACTGGCTGAACCCTCCTGCCGGGTACGTTCACGATGATAGTACTCGATCAGCTGGGCGGAGCGCAGCAAATGCTCCATCGATGCCAAGTTGACCAGGTCGAGCTGATCGTACTCCGCGCCGGTCTGCACGGCACGCAGCACAGCCTCGTGGAACGAGACACCGTAGTCGTCGCTGTTCAGCTTGGCGGTGGACTTCCACCACTCGTGGTGCGCCAGCGGCCCGTTCCTCCGTCGTAGGAAGTCCAGGCACCAGCGTGTCGTCCTCGGGCCAGGGATGTGCGTCTCCCAGTCCGAGAAACTCACGAGCTCCATCTTCTCGACCGCATCGCTGAAGTCCCGCTTGCGCTGACCTGCCACACTCTTGATGGGCAGGGTCCGCGCGTCGCCGTCGTCGTCCGTCTCGATGCGGAACTTCTTCTTCACATCGGCCAGATCCGCAGCTGGGCATCTGACGCAGAAAACTCTTTTCTCCACGCCGTCATGAACATACGTATGGATCGCCCTATCGCCGCTGATGACTGCCTCCTCAGTGAGGCGGACGACGCTGCCCGTGTGAATGCCTGGCGCCTCCTCGATAGCATACCATAGATCGGCATTGCCTGCGGGAGCACCTCCACCGCGAGCAGCCTCAGATCGAGCCAAAAGCCTGGCCTCCTCTCGAAGGCCCTGCAGGTGGGCTCCCTCTGGCTCCTGGCGGAACCGATAGACATCCTGCGGGTCAATGCCGTGGGGACCTCCACCACGACGGTCGGACAGACGAAAGCCCTCGATGTCCTCGTTGTGGCGGCTGAAGTCCTCCATATACACATCGCTGTCGGGAGTGGCGATGATCCAGTCAGTCGCCGAATCTCCCACCTTCTCCAGTAAAAGTCTTTCGTGCCATATGGGATGACCCGCGTACTTCACGAACACTCTCGTGCCCCGCTCCATGATGCTTGACTGGCTTCAGAACCTGATGCGGCACACGCACAGGTTGAGCTGGGGCAGATGTCAGCGCTGGCGCCGCCTCGTGAGCAGCACGACGGGCAGTCCTCTTCTCGAAAAATCCAGGCAGCTGAAGCCAGATGATCTGGAAGAAAGCGGTGGTCACCACTCCGCAGCAGCACCCTGATATGAAGAGCAACGCCGCACCGAGCGCGAGAATGACAGCAACTAAGATACCCTCTGAGGTGTATGCTCCGTTCAGGCTCGCGGTCCAGCCAAAGCAATAGAATGAGGCCTCAAGGGCCTCTCTCTGACAGGAGCCTGCTGTGGTGAGAGCAGGCCACCAAGAAGACATAAAGTTGCTGCTGAGCCCACACAGCTACAGAACAAAGAAGGGATCGCACCGTTCTATCAAACTTCAGAAGAAACACGTGCTGGCACTGCTTAGGTTTGCGGACCTAGCTCGACTAGCAGCGGAGTTCAGACCTCTGGGTTCAAGAGGCGAACGCGCCTGATCATCCTGAATCTATTAGCTGTGCTTACGAGCTCTGTAGCTGTCCTGAAGCTCGAGATATCTTGAGAAAACCGTCACCGCGTGACAAGATGACTCGAAACGGCCAATCCCCCCCGTGTGCTTTTTGGCAGTAAACGGTACCCGATCGAGCTGAGATCGAGACGGCGAGCGGGAATGAGATCGAATATCACGGGAAAAAAAACTAGAGCTCTAACGAATATTCGAATTTTGAGAACAAAATTTTCAACCGACCAAAAGTCACCAAAAGGTCCGTCGAGATTTTTCTTCTCAACTAGCTCTCCAGCGCCCGGAAATTACTCTTAAGCTTCCAGCAATGACTTGCTAAGGGAAGCTCTACGAGTTACTGGCGCCGGCGGTGAACTGTCAACGTGGTTACCGCCGGGAATTTGATAGCCTCCAAAACCCGGAGAGCGAAGAGATCCTCGGGGACAGATACGTTTTCTGCAGAGCTTTGGCGGGCTCCCCGGAAGCGTGTCGAAAGCGCTGCCAGGCACACCTTCATGCGTGCCTGCACTCGTGCGGGCACGCCTGAAGCACTTCGAATGCGCTGCCAGGCACGCCTCCATGCGTGCCTGTACGCGCACAGGCACCCGTGGACGCGTGCCAGAAACGCTCCCGGACCCGCTGCGACCTCAAATGGCGCCGGCGGTGAACCGTCAACCTGGTCACCGCCGGGAACCTCGTGGAGCTCCTTGCACGCGTAAGAGTGCTCAGCAGCGAAGCAGGAAGCTTCTCGGAGTATTTCTAGAAGAAAATCGAATTCCCATTTTTCCGTATCAATTGCATGTTGGTTGCTGTTAATTTTCCGATAGTAAAACTGGATCTAGACAGCTGCGCTGCTCAGGGAACAAAGTTTATATGCCAATGCTTGGCCTAAAATTATGCTTTCTCCAAATGAATTGTCGAATTTCTTTCTAATCTTTGCAGAACCGCGCCAAATGTGCCACATTGTCTCTTTTTGTCGGGTCGGCCAACTAGCTCCACCCCGCGCCGGAATTCCTCTAGCTCATCGATGCCGAAGAGATCTACGAGGTATGAATAGTCGAAATCGTTCTTCGAACAACTGACCCGAAGGAACTGCATCTTCTTTCCTGATTGTGTCGAGGCTTCCTCCCGCGTCCGATCCTAGCTTATCGATAACTGGCGTCGACAGTGAACTGTGAACCTTAAAGAGCCGACGGAAAGCCCTTCTTGAGCCTCTTGATGTAAAGCAGACAGCTTATCGGAGCATTTCTAGAAAAAACACGAATTTTCGTTTTCAGTGTGAACATGATTTCGATTCCTCGGAATGTTTGAATATGAAAAGGCCCGCCACAGAGCTAAGCTGCTCGCAGAAAAAAAGTTGAGGTAGCAATGCTCGGAGTAAAAATCTGCTCGAAATGACTGGAACCGGCGGTAAACCGTCAACCAGGTTACCGCCGGGGCCCTCGTAGAGCTCTTTTCTCCACGGCGCTGCTCTATAAGCATGAAGGGAGCGTCTAGAGCAAGACCTGAGAAACTCGAAACATCACGTTTTTCTGTTTTTATCCAACGTCGGTTCCCCCAAGTATTTTGATAGTAATACTGCACCTATGGGCCTCAAAAAATTGTACTGGCGGACGCGCCATCACCCACTACAGGTGCGAAAAATCTGCTCTCTCAAAATGAATTTCCCGGAGAGCTCGCTGAGAGCTAAAGGGTTTAAGACTGGAACCGGCGGTAAACCGTCAACAAGGTCACCGCCGGGATCAGAGCTCTTTTCTCGCACGGCGCTCCTCGGTATGTGCAGGAAGACTCTGGAGCAAGATCCCAAAAACTCGAAAAATCACGTTCATGTTTTCATCGAAAGACGGTTCCGCCAAGTGTTTTGATTGCAATACTGCCCCTACGGGCATGAGAATTTGATTGGCGAACGCGAAATAATCCACTACAGGTGCGAAAAATACCTGTTCTCAAAATGAATGTTCAAATCTCTCACAAGTTTGTCCAACCGACCCAAAGTTCGCACATTGTCCGCGGGGGCCGGGTCGACCAACTAGCTGCACCCCGCGCCCGAATTCCCCTAGCTCATCGATGCCGAAGAGCTCTACGAGGTATTAGAAGCCGGACGGTGGTGGTGCCCGCCAGGAGCTCCTCCACGGCGGTCCACAGGCCTCGCAGCGACTTGATTTGTCCTGGAGTGCATGACGATGCGTACTTCCGCGCGTACTCTCTCTGGAATCGAGCAGTGTTCAGCGTAGATGGATCACTCATATCGCCTCGGCATTCTCCAATCGTCTCGATGAACAACACGCCCGGCCCGGCAACGGGTCCGGGAGAGCTTCCGGCAAGCTTCCACGCGTGCCTGCACGCGTGCAGGCACGCGTGGAAGCGTTTCTGGCAGCGCTTCGGCAGCGCTGCAGGGGAGCTTCCCAGAGCTCTCCAGGAAAGATTTCCCGTCTCCAAAGGGTCTCTTCGCTCTCCGGGTTTCGGACGCTACCAAGTGTCAACTATCCTTCAATTTTTCAGAAAAACACCCAAAAGTTATCTTGTCCTTTCTGGCCGGGTCGGCCAACTAGCTCCAGCCCGCGCCGGAATTCCTCTAGCTCATCGATGCCGAAGAGCTCTACGAGGTAATTGTCAAATATCTTTCAAATCTCAGCAAAACCGACCCAAAGTTACCACATTGTCCTCTCTGGCCGGGCCGATCAACTAGCTCCAGCCCGCGCCGGAATTCCTCTAGCTCATCGATAACGAAGAGCTCTACGAGGTACGAACTGCTGCAAGAGTTTTGGACCGGCGAAGATGGGCTGCTGGCGGGCACCACCACTGACCGGCTTCTAATCTGAAACCCTATAGCTCTCAGAGAGCTCTCCGGGAATCTCGTAGAGCTCCTTACACGCGTGAGAGTGTTTAGAATTGTGAAATATCTTTCAAAAAATTGCAAAACCACCCAAAAGTTGTCACATTGTCTCTTTTGGTCGGGTCGGCAAACTAGCTCCACCCCGCGCCGGAATTCCTCTAGCTCATCGATGCTGAAGAGCTCTACGAGGTACTAGCTCCACCCCGCGCCCAAATTCCTTTAGCTCAATGCCGAAGAGCTCTACGAGGTACTGGCGCCGGCGGTGAACCGTCAACCTGGTCACTGCCGGGAATATCGTAGAGCTCCTTCCACGCGTCAGAGTGCTCAGAGTCGAAAGAGAAAGCTTCTGGAGGCATTTCTCAAAAAAATCAACATTGTTTTTTTTGATGTCGACAAGAAATTGGTTCCGCCAAGTGTTTTGATAGTAAAAGTGCGTCTACAGAGCTCATATTGAGACAAGGAGGCCCTCATGATCGTTTACAGGTGCGAAAAATCTGCTTTCTGAAAATGAATTGTCAAATATCTTTCAAATCTGAGCGAAACCACCCAAAAGTTATCACTTTGTCCTTTCTGGCCGGGTCGGCCAACTAGCTCCACCCCGCGCCGGAATTCCTCTAGCTCATCGATGCCGAAGAGCTCTACGAGGCACTGGGCGCCGGCGGTAAACCGTCAACCTTCCTTACCGCCGGGGGACTCGTAGAGCTTCCTGAGCATATATAATGTCGAACAAAATTGCAGAGAACGAGTAGTTTTTCAGCCTAAACGATTTCAGACCTCTCGATGCAACAGCCAAACGCCCCTCATGCTTGTGGATCGTTTTCTGTGCGCACGAGCTCCGTAGCTCTCCTACAGCCCGAGTTACGTGCGAAAATCGACAGCACCTCTCAAGATCACTCGAACAATACAAATAGTTTCGCGAATCTAGCTCGAGTATCGGACCGAGTTCAGACATCTGAATGCAAGAGGCGGACGCGCCTGATGTCTCCGAATCGATTCCTGTGATTACCAGCCCTGCAGCTCCCTTACAGCCCGAGTTAAGTGCAGAAAATTGACAGCACCTCTGAAGATGACTCGAACAATACGAATAGTTTCGCGGACCTAGCTCGGGCAGCAGACCGAGTTCAGAGCTCTGAATGCGACAGATGGACGCGAGTGATGTCTCTGAATCGATTCCAGTGATTACCAGCCCTGCAGGCCCCCTTACAGCTCGAGTTAAGTGCAGCAAACGGACAGCACCTCTCAAGATTACTCGACGAATACAAATAGTTTTGCGAATCCAGCTCGGGTAGCACACCGAGTTCCGAGATCTGGATTCGACAGGCGGACGCGCCTGATGTCTTCGAATCGATTCCTGTGAGTACGAGCTGTAGCCCCCCTACAGCCCGAGTTAAGTGCAGAAAACTGTCAGCACCTCTCAAGATGACTCCAACAACACGAATAGTTTCGCGAACCTAGCTCGGACAGCAGACCGAGTTCGGTGAAATGAGCTCTACGAGGTTCCCGGCGGTGACCAGGTTGACGGTCCACCGCCGGCGCCAGTTTCGCGAACCTAGCTCGGACAGCAGACCGAGTTTGGACCTGTAGATGTAACAGACGAACGTGCCTGATTTCGCAATCGATTTCTGTGAAAATGAGCTCTGTAGCTGCCCT